AAAACAGGGCTTTCTTTTCCTTTCTTCCCTTCATTTATATAGTTTGCTTAACCTGTTCCCTGTCACCTATTTTTTTTAACATTAGTAAGTCCTAGACCAAAGGTTTTGTACTCTTGCATTCCATCTGACTGCTTTTTTGGGTGGTGGCCATTCTCTGGTGCACTGGTACAGAAGATTTCACCATGGAAAACTGTGCTTGACCTTTCAATCTGATCCTTTTTTTCATCTTGGCATAATAAGGCTGTTGCGTCTTCATCCTTCAGTGGAAAAGCCCGTCGTTCCCACCATAAAGACTGAAAGGGGAAACATTTTCAGTTAAGTTTCAACTAATTTGTTTTGTTTCAAGTAATGTGTAAATGTCAATTTTTGTAATAACTATTATTTTGGTCTTTTAGCATATAAATGTACAAATTTTCACTTGAACTTAAATATCTAGCAACTCAAAATGAATGTATTGGGACTTGTTCAGTGACCTTTAGTAATTATTTCTTCACTTTGCCTCTGCCAAGAAAAGGAAATGCTGCCATAGGGCACTGTTCTACATTTTCAGCCTAAGAGCACTTTGGGAAAGCCCCTTTAGAAGTCTTTTAAAGTTTGATCTACTTCTACTTCAATATCATTTTTATCCTATCATTATTACAAATACCTATTGACGTTTTTTTTTCCTGAGCTTTCTACAACTTGCATATTAATTTCTATAGTCTCTACTCTCTCCATTCTAGATTTGGTTCTTCTTTTTCAACACGTATTTATGAAGAAAGGTGCACGGACTTTATGGATGCAGTGTTAGAAAACACTCCCCTTGAGGTAGGCACTGGATCTATGGGGAGACAAATAAAAATCTTAATATGTAAGCAGGAAGACAAATAGTAGCTAACATTGACTGTGTACTAGGTTCTGTTCTGCCTTAATCAGATTTGTTTTGTAATGAAACTTTGACAGTATCCCCATTTCCTAATAGATAAGTGAGTAGGTGGAAGTTGGTACTGATATGTTACAAAAAGATTATTGATTGTAGTTAGTGATGGAACTAGAATGCTGGAATGCAGACCTTGATTCTTACCCCACCATTCTCCATTGAATTGTCTTACTGAATTTATGTAATGATGAAACTTAATTTGTAACAAGGAGTTTTTACAAACAAGTAAAAGGTTAAAAGGCAAGAAAAAGGAAGTTTATCATATATATTACACTCACTTTGATTTCTTGACTTGGATTTAAAGAAGGTGAACCACGTGCACACAGGTCATGGCAATCAGAAAGAGGCTCAGGAGGACTTTCAGCAGCACATTGCTGACTGCTACTCAAGTAATTAGGATAGTCTTTGAAAAGCAAGTCCTGTCCTTCAACATTTTTACTGTAGGCTCTAGCAAGAAAATCAGGAAAACATCATTGCTTGTTATTTTTTGAGGTCTTAACATTTTATGAACAATTCAAGGTATCATTAAGTCAACTAAACTTAATAGCTTTTCTTTAAACAGTTCTACCGAAAAGATTTTTTAAAATTCATCAGATGAACTTTCTGGTGCTATCATTTTCATAGCTCAAAGGATTAAATAATACTTTTTAAAATATTTTGCCAAATTATAATAGTGAGTTTTTTTGTTTATGTGGTTTGCTTTTATTTTTTGGAAGACAACAAAGCACAATTACTTGACCCTTACAGACTTTCTGAGTTCCTAGGGTATTCTATAATTATTATAATGTCATCCATGAAGGACTCAATTCACATTTCTGTCTGTACTTTTAGAAAGTTTTATCTCTGGAATGTGGAAAAAGGTGAGAATTCCAGAATCTCATTATGTTAGGAGAACTCTTGGAACAAGGAGCTACAGCAAATCTGGAAATCTTGAGACCTAAACAGAGAAATGTGTTTTAACAATACTAATTAAATGAGAGATGCTCTTTAACTAAAGTGACTACCAGACTTCACATGATCTTGCTTTGTGAGTTTTGGCTATATCAAAAATACTCAAATGTAAATATAAAATACCAGGGATTTTCTCAAATATATAGACTACTTTTTAAATTGGACAGGTTTTTTGAGAAAATTTTTTTTAAAAAAAACATATTTTTGAAGTAGTTACGTTAAAATGGACTACCCAAATTCCAATCCCCAGTGTTAGTTTCACTATTATAATAGATTGAAGTGACCTGCTTTATATTAGAGCATATTCATATTATTTGCTAGTTAAATCTGTTCCTGATGCTGACAATGATCATGAGAAATAGAGTATAGTAAAACATAGAAACTCATTTCATCATGTAATGTCACCCAAATATATTTTAA